CATGTTTTATAGGAGCAAATTGAGACAAATGTTTTTTAGGACTTGACGTGCTGTTCGAGTGTAAGCAAGGTAACATTTATGAAGGGATTCAGGAAAACTTGCAGGCTGGACTTGATTCCTGGAGATGAGAAGTACAGTGCTGGCACTCTGAAGGAGGGGGTGTTAATGTTGCAGTTTTATAACTATAGCATAAGCACACCTCTGGCAAGACAGTGATGGAGTGAATGATGATGGAAGTTTTTCTTTTTCGGACCACCCTGCCTTGGTGGGAAATGGCTGATGTGTTAATAAACAAAAATAATAAGGAAAAAAAACTGTAATAATAGTGATGAGAAGTCTGTAGTAAGGAAAAAATCATCAGTGGATGCAAAATGAGAAATGTATAAAAGTAGAGTGGACGTAACACTTTTGTATAGGTGAGTGGCATGGTCTTTAAATGCTGTAGCAAAAGGCTGAAAGAGGTACAGATGCTTGATATATATCTACAATATGAGTATTATACAGGGAATAAATACCACAGTGAAGACATTAGATGTTGTAGTGGAATTGAAGGTCTAATTCAGGAAGTAGATGAGGGGGTTATCAAGACTGTCTGGTCATTGAGAAAGGATGAAGCAAGAATGGCTGATCATGAGAGCATATAAATGAGTAGTGGATCACTAAGGAAAAGTTGAAAGGGTGTAAAATTTCCAGAGTTCAGAGAACAAGCATGTGCAAGTGTGTTAGATCAAGGTTAATAGAGACTAGTAAGTATTTAGGACTTGACATATTGTTGGAATATGAGCACAGTACTGCATTATCTACAAAACATTTAAGGAAACCATTTAGGTTCTGAAAGTGAGAAGTATAGCACCAGAACTCTGAAAGTAGGGATGTTGTGGTTTGGCTGATCTTTTACATTATGATGGCTGCACTTCTATATGTATAGACATATATAGTGAGTGATGATGCTTTTCTTCATTGGATCACCATGTTTGGAAATAACCAATGTTTAAAAAAAAAAAGGACAGCAGTTGGGAGCCTTTACATTACCTTTATTACCTACCTATAATTACCTATTAGTAGTTTTGCTAGCAAAGCAAAGCTCGTAGGGTCTCGTCTTCAGCATTTATCATATACTTTTTTTTTTTTTAAGTTTCCAGTGATTATAGCAATTACTACCTTTTCTCACAGATCATGCCACTGTCCTACCCCTATTTGTGATGGACTTTCTGATATCCCATTGGCACATCTTTTTTTTAGTTTACAACTGAGGCCTTCCATTTTTATTGATAGTATCAGGAAATTTTTCACATCGATTATTTTGCATAGTACTTTGATAATATTATACGTGGTTATCAAGTCTAATCTTATCTCTAATCAGGGCATGTCCTATGCTTTCAGCCTTTCTTTGTATCTCGCATATTTTAATTTTGGAAGTCATTTTGTAACATGTCTTTTTCTAATTTACCCAGTGTTAACGTACAAAATTTAGAGAATATTTTAATACTTGCACTTTAATGTATACGGTAACAAGACTTGTTGGTTATTACGAAAGAAATGATTGTTAAGTGTTGTTCATGAAAGCAAACGGAATATCTTAGTACTGAATGAGAGTATGAATAGGGAGAAAAGGAATTAAGTTAGGCATATCTGAGAGAATGAGAGCTGAAGGAATAGCTGTCATGTTATATGGATAATTGTAGAAATACTACAAGGTATTATAGGTGTTTAAGTTTAAAAATAGTGTGTGCTTAAGAATGAAACTGGATTGCGAGAAATGGCTAAAATGAACATTTAATCTAGGTAGATTCATATAGAGGAAAGAAAAGGCAATTCTGAGAGGCAGATCTTACTCAAACTCACCCCTTCTCACTCATTTATTTGTCCAACCTATTTTTTTAAGCTACTTCTGACCACCTGCCCTGGATGCCATACTATATAAGCTGGAAGTTTTCTCATTGTTCTATGTATCTGATAAAGCCCCCTCATGGTAGTAATAAAATGGATAGCACTGTTACAGTGTGTGTAGTAACAAAATTCAGTGTGCTTGCCAGGGGTAAGCGACAAAGGGTAGCCTGTAATTGAAATTTGTTTATAGAGGGGTTTAGTAATATAAAATACTTGATTTAACAAGAGGAGAGAAAAGCCTTCAAGATATGAACTGATCAAAGAGGGCAGTCTGCTAGACTATATATCATAGGATAAAAGTTAAAGTGAATGGAAACAAATGGTTTTTGGGCTCTGACGAGCTGTTGGAGTGTGAGCAGGGTAATATTACGTGGAGGGATTCAGCGACACCAGTTAGCCGGACTCAAGTCCTGGAGGTGGGAAGTACAATGTCTACACTTTAAAGGGGGACAGGGGATACTGGCTGTTGGGAGTGACATCTAAACTGTTATTTCTGGGCACCTCTGCAAAGGCAGTGACTGTGTGTGAAAGATGGTGAAAGCATTTCTTTCTTTTTTGGGTCACCCTGCCTAGGTGGGAGACAGCCAAAGTGTTAAAAAAAAAAAAGTTAAAGGGAAGATTTTTAGAAGTACAAGTTAACCCTTTCAGGGTTGACAGGCCCTCTCAGAGACTTGTTCTCAGGGTCCCCCAAATTTCAAAAAAAAAAAAAAATTATTTTTTCTTACGAAAAGATAGAGAATCTTTTTCCCGATCATAATGACACCAAAAGTATGAAATTTGATGGAAAACTTACAGAATTATGCTCCCGCAAAGTTAGTCTCGACGATGTGTATGCATCGACGATTTTGCCCAACTTGAGCCCTATTTTCGGCCAATTCCAGTATACTTGTTGACAAAAATCATAACTATTTTGCTAGAACTCCATTTTTTCTATCAAATGAGTACAAGAAATCACCCATTTACCAATTTCAACTATCCAATACAGTAGTCAGAATTTAGCAATTTTGCCAATTTCACAAAAATTTCAAAAGATGCCAATTTCTGAATAGGGTCCAGAATAAACAAGAAAGACATTTCTGGCACTAAAATAACTTTTCCTCTGTTCATTAGTCACTTCCCCATGCCCCTCTTACATTCTTTTGCTTTCCACTTTGAATTTTTATCTCACAAAAAAATAGAAGATTTACTGTTATGCAGACTACTGCATTGGTGTAGAAATGGTATAAATAATATCAGCGCACTTGTGAAAGAATATTAGACTCACCAGTTGACATGTATTGGACGCATAGCATGATTTGTTTACTTTTGAACTTTGGTAAAAATCGAACATTTCTGCTACTTTGAGCTCAATTTCAAGGTACTTTTCTTTGTAAAACCAGTCAAAATCATCTCAATTTCTGTAATATGTCTTCCATTCTATAAAATGAGACCAGGAAAACTAATAAATACCATACGAATATACAGTGCAAAGTCGCTGTTTTAATCCAAAAACATGGTCAAAGTTTTTTTTTTTCTCATTACGCACTGTGTGCTGCAGGATTTTTTTTATATCACGCACACTGACCACATAGACCCATTCTTTCATATGTAGGCCTACCAGCTTTCACTAGATTTGAGGGCTCTAGAATTTAGGCGTACTAGTACGTCAAAAACCCTGGCTCGTAAGCCGTACTAGTACGGCCAAAACCCTGAAAGGGTTAATAGAGGGATGACTGGCATGTCTGATCATTATTTAGTGGTAGCTTGATTAAAGAGTAAGGTGAAAATGGAAAGGAAAATTTTGTCAGTAAAATTTATTTTATTTATTTATTATCACACCGGCCGATTCCCACCAAGGCAGGGTGGCCCGAAAAAGAAAAACTTTCACCATCATTCACTCCATCACTGTCTTGCCAGAAGGGTGCTTTACACTACAGTTTTTAAACTGCAACATATAACACCCCTCCTTCAGAGTGCAGGCACTGTACTTCCCATCTCCAGGACTCAAGTCCGGCCTGCCGGTTTCCCTGAATCCCTTCATAAATGTTACTTTGCTCACACTCCAACAGCACGTCAAGTATTAAAAACCATTTGTCTCCATTCACTCCTATCAAACACGCTCACACATGCCTGCTGGAAGTCCAAGCCCCTCGCACACAAAACCTCCTTTACCCCCTCCCTCCAACCCTTCCTAGGCCGACCCCTACCCCGCCTTCCTTCCACTACAGACTGATACACTCTTGAAGTCATTCTGTTTCGCTCCATTCTCTCTACATGTCCGAACCACCTCAACAACCCTTCCTCAGCCCTCTGGACAACAGTTTTGGTAATCCCGCACCTCCTCCTAACTTCCAAACTACGAATTCTCTGCATTATATTCACACCACACATTGCCCTCAGGCATGACATCTCCACTGCCTCCAGCCTTCTCCTCGCTGCAACATTCATCACCCACGCTTCAACACCCATATAAGAGCTTGTAAAACTATATCTCTCATACATTCCCATCTTGCCTCCAAGGACAGATTTTCTCAAGACTCTAAGTGCACCACTCACTCTTTTCCTCTCAATACTTCTATGATTCACCTCAATTCTTTATAGACCCATCCGCTGACACTTTTCACTCCCAAAAAACTGAATACGTTCACCTCCTCTTAATACTCTCTACCCTCAATCTGATATTCGATCTTTCATCACCTAATCTTTTTTGTTATCTTGAACCTTACTGACTTTCTGTATTCACCTTTAATTTTTTCTTTGTACAACCCTACCAAATTCATCCTCCAATCTCTGTAATTTCTTCAATTCTTCCAAAGAACCAGGAAAACAATACAATCCACTTAGTGTGTGAATCTTTATCTTTTAACTCCACGCTCTTGCCAAAGTTTTTTTTCTCTTACGACCCTGTTCTGAAATATATTAAACAACCACGTGCCCATCACCCTTTCCCTTCTACTTAGGCCTCCCAGCTTTTCAAAAATTTGAGCGCTAGTTTCGTACAGTACTCTAAACCTGCTGAAGCCGTACTATCTCGAAAACTCTTAAGGTTATAGAGGGATACTGCTGCTACACATACATTATCATCTGGCACATTGCCCCTAAGTCCACCTGATCATAAAGGAAAATTTTCAGTAAAAATCAGAATATTTCTCATGCAGTGGTTCTAGTCACAGGATGACATGCTCAATGGAACTTTTGGTCAACTGACTGAGGCCTTCTGCTGGCTTACCACTCCACCCCAGAAAAAATAAATATTTCATCATATGTACCATAGGAAGACAGTATGAGAAATGTCTCAGTGGATAAAACAATAAGTGCAAGTAAATGAATTAAAGGAAACAAGGAGAGATATGAACAAATGTTGGGAGGATAGCATGAAAGAGGGAGAGAAAGAACGAAGAGAGCTAGGAGGTACAAAACAGTATGGATTTAAGAATGAATTGCTAGTGCTTAGCAAAGGTTTGTGATTCTAGGATGGTGAATGTAAGAGGAAAAAGGAATGATTAATGGGATGATGTGAAAAAGGCAGTAAGATAACTTATTATATTTATAAGGAAGTGTTAAACATACAAGGGTTAGTGCCAGGGAATAAGGAGGTAATCAGGTTTAATCCAAGGAAGGGGATGGTAACTTCAATTCTTTGGATCAAGAGCTTTTAATCTGAGTCAAGGCACCTGTCTTGAAGGAAACACACTAGAAAAAGTTGGCATAGGATAGGCTTTTGCAATGTAAAAAGTTATATATAAAAGCTACAATACAAGGAGAAGGAAAGGTTAAAAAACAGATGAAGGAGAGGAAGAGAAAATGCAAGAATCATCTTCCATCAACAAAATATTCTAAGAACCAGTTTTAGAGAAATAAACATGTGAGAAAAATCTAGGGAGACAATGAGCTGGTCAGCTAACAGTACTCACCGAGTTGAACTAACCAAGCTGTATTTGCAGGGGTTGAGTCTCAGCTCTTGGCCTCACGTCTTAAATTACAATCACCGGCATTACTGGTTCCTTGCCTTGTGGGCATTATCATACTTACTCTTGAAACTCATGAAATGTGCCTAGATGTTGGATAAGGAGGTAGATTATATTAGAGATCAATGAGAATATTTTGGAAAGTTATTAAATGTGGAAGATGACATAGCAGTGATTTCATTCATGAGTCAAGGAGATTTGTTATTTATTTCATGCACATGTATATCTGAGCTGTAGTATTGGCATGCTTCTGGCAAGACAGTAATGGAGTGAGTGTTGCTGAAAGTGTTTCTTCTATATTGGACAAGGGGTTTAAGAGAGTATGAATTATATAGGAACAAGCCACATTGGCAAGCAATGTATGGTGTGATTATTATGCAGAGAATAAATAGGGAAGAAATCAGAAGTGTGGTGATATGAAAGGCATAATTAGGGAAGCAAAATAAAGGTCAAGATGGTTTAGTTATGTAGAAAGGGTAGAGTAAGATAAGGTGACCAAGAGTTTGTATATTGTATCTATATCTGGGGTGGAAAGAGGAAACTATTAAAATAAGGGTTTGAAGTTTTTATGTGGTAGGTGGTTGAGTATGCTACGGCATGTATGTATGGAGTAAATCAAGTTTTAAGTGATAGGGCTTCAACATCCAACAGGCTTGCATGAGCACATTAAGAGTGGAGAAATTTGTTTTTTATTACTTGACATATTGTTGGAGTGTGAACAAGGGAGCATTTATGAAGGGATTAAGGGAAACCAGCTAGTTGGACCTAAGTCCTTGAGATGAGAAGTACAGTATCTGGACTCTAAATGAGAAAAGAGATGCTACAGTTCAGAGGATCATCTGAACTGTGATGTCAGCACATTTCTGGCAAGACAGCAACTAAATGAAGGATGGTGAATGAGCTTCTTATTTTCTGAGCAATCTTAACTCAATGGAGGGCAGCTGGTATGTTAAAAAATAAAAATGTTTTAATCTACTGTAATATATTTACTCACAGACAAATGCTGACAACTGCATTTATTCTAATTTTTTTTTTTTTACCAAGAACACTACAATGCTATAAGGTTCAAGAATATCAGTACAAAAGTACTATTTGCAGCATGTACAGCAAAAACCTCACTTCTAAGCATTGCTTCAGGATGCATTGTAAAAAAAAGTTTGTACCTTGAAAAGACATTACGCAATTTGTCTTTCGTGTGCCCAGAAAATTATATCTGGGTAAATAAAATTCACATCATAAAAAATAATTAACTGTTAAATATGTCAGTACTTGTCCATAACAAAATTAAAATAATAACAATTGTACCTGCATTACACATCCCATTTAATGCCTGCATATGTCACATACTACTCAATGCCTGCACTCAGCACATACAATTCAACACCTTTTACTTGCATTCATCCTATGCCTGCCTATATCATATACAATCCATCATTTAACAAATTAAAAACAATTAATGAAATCTTACCAGCTGTTTGAAAGAAAAAAGCAGAATGAGAATTACATAAAAATCTATACAACTGCTGAAGCTGACCATACATCCAAAGAAAGGTTAGCACTGCTTCTAATTGTTTTTTCAAAGTTATGAATAAGTCATTCTAAAAATATACTTTCCACTACAAATGGCTTAAACTGCATATTACAAAGGTACCATATGTAAATTAAACAACATCAACCAATTCAATCAGTTAAAAAAGAATACTTTGTCCTAGCCATTAGTCATCAAGCCTAAGTAAGGTTTAAATGTATCACATAATAGCACCACATCTCTTTATCTTCAGTTTCCACCAGTCCATGTAAAAAAAAAAATCACTGCTAATTTTATTTCTATCTTTAATTGGAGTAGGAAATATTTTAATTAAAAATTCCACTTATTACAATTTAAACCATCAAATTGCAAGTACTATAAAATAAAAGCATAGTTAAAAAGGCATATAAAATATTATATACTATGCTTTTGATTTAAACTATCAATAAAATAAGATTAATAAGAGAAAAGTATATAATGATTTGGGGGTGAATAAAAATATTAAAACCACACTATTAACAAGACTGTACAAGCCAATGATAATGTCAGGACTGGACCAAACTTTATAAGCACATAGCACTTTCTTGATACTTACCTGGTATATTCTTACCATTAATGAACATTGCATAACTCTTAAGTTTACTGAATTATGATACATATTATGACAAATGTACAACCATAAAAACTACAGAATGTCTATCAAAATACTTCATTTATGTACCATTATTGCATTTTCTAAACCTCCTGAAACCTATGACTGTAATGTAACGGTAAACATTCCACTATTTGCTTCATGGAACAAAAATTTACTTTTCTGAAGAAATTCTTTAATTGCTGGCTTTAATCTTGCCTGCCCCCCAACACTATGTGCACCTCGACCTGTAATCAAAGAAACCTGCATCTGCTTTATCCCTCGAGCTGTTAGGACCCGCTGTCTCTCTTTAAGGAATGCTTGGGCTGCACTCAGTGCTTCAGGAACATGCAAAAGGTGCAAGTCCAAGCAATTTGCATCTGTTCTATTAGCATTAGTTGCTTCCAATATTTTCTTGGATGCTCGCTGATTGGCCTCACCTAACTTGGTTGAGTGTAAGTTTCCTAAACGAGCATAGTATGCTGCCACTGCTTTCATTCCCTGACTTGACGCTTCCTGTGCCTTTTTGAATGCCTCTTGACGCTGATGGTAATGTAACTGAGCTTCATTTCGATACACCTGCAAGTATTAAAAAATTTCTACCAATAACTTTCCAGTCAAGCTACACATGTTCATATTTAAAGCTATACAGTATTTTTTCATTTTAATACTTGTCCATATAAACTTAATGGGAAAAAATCATAAGATTACCTGTGGATCATCTGGAAATAGCTCATCTTCATTTTCCTGGGTAGTTAGCAAGTCCTCTATCTCTTGCTGAGCCAAGCTATCACGTTGTGCTTGTCGGATCATTTGCTGCTCGTATCTGTACAAAGCTTCTGGAGCAATTACAGTTTTGGGGGTTCCGTGTTCAGTACCATATTGTCTATAAAGTTTTTCTACGGTATCCTGATAACTAAAGCCACTTCTTGCAAATTCCTCCTTCAAAGCATTAGGATCAACTTTAGGGTATTCTGCATATAAACGCTGTAAAGTAAGATGAGAGGACATTGTGAGACAATCAGAAGATTGGCTGTCTTCATGGCTGTGTTGTAGTGCCTGCTCTAAATCCATAATTTCCTTGAATTGAGAAGGTGGGTCATTTTGGAAAACTTCCTCCATTTTTTCATTTTTTCCATTTCTTAAGCTTACCTCTTCTTCTTCTTGTAAACGACGAGCAAGACTTTCATCTTCACGGATAAGGCTGTCTAAAACTTCTGTTTCATGCTTGAATTTACCATCTAGAGTAAGAGTCCAATATTTATGTATCATGAGGCAAAATTCTAATGGGAGAATAACACTCCGGTCCTCTGGGGTTAGTTCACCGCTAATCTCACAGGCACCAACAGGACCAAACATTCTCGTAAGTTGAGAAGCAAAGAGGGGATCCATCACTAATGTTATGTATTGTGCTCCTTCTGCATCATCTCCACTGGTACTCTCTTCAATTGGTTTTTCATTTCTATTTGATGCAATTTTCCTCTCTCCTTGTTTCCTTTTTGCTTTCATTTCCTTTACTCTCATCATATTGAGCTCACTAACATCTTTACCAGTTAGCCTTGTAACTCTGTCATCAACAGAATCATTAAAAGTGAAAGCTTGTTCAATTGCTTTTTTGCTAGCCAAGTCCTTTGGTTGTTGGCTCTGCTTAAATTTTCTAGATTTCTCTTCAACATATACATCTGATGAAATATCACTTGCATCAGCAAACGATGAAGGATCTTCCCTACCATCTCCTGTACTTGTTGTTTCTGTTGTTGATTCTGTGTCTATATCTACTTCCTTAGGCTCTTCATAGCTAATGCTTGCATCAGCAGGGTCTGACATTTCATAACCACCATCTAATAAAACATTCATAGCCCAATCTAGGTTATACATGCATTTCTCTAATACATCTTGAAGGTCATCTTCTGAAATGTTAGGGAAGAATGCTACAAGATTTCTATAGGATTCAACCATAGTAATGTCTGCACTATAGTCTGTCATAGTACTTTTGTCAAGATAAAGTTTTCCCCTGGTTAATGGTCCACTATCAGGAAGAACATCACTGTCATACTTAGTAATATAACCTGGCTGACCATACATTATCTTTAGCTCATAAAGATTGTTATCTAGCTGTAGAGCTTCAAAGTCAATTGACAGTGTCTGAGTTTCTGCAGGGATGTATTTAATTCTAGAGCTTTTTTCAGCATCATGTAAGCTCTTTTCAATGCATGGTAAAGGATAACTGGTTGTATCATTTGATGTCTGATCATCAGAATTACCAGAGCTGGTACTAGCTGCTGAAAGTGTTCTGGCATGCTGCTTGTGTCTCCTAAACTTTGGTACAGCACCAGTGTGAGGCTGTGGTTTGAGAGAATTTTCACTTTTTATTTCTTGAATCTCTTGCTTTAGGGGTCTGTCAGAGTCAGATAATATAGGCGAGTTATTACTGTCCCATGACGGTATACCACTTTGTACAGGTTTCCAAGATACTATGGAAGGATCCTCTACTTTGTTTGTCTCTTCATTAGTATCACCTAACCACCTGTCGGGATCACCTGATATTCTCTTACGTCTGCTTCTACTTGGCTTAGAAGACTGTGACACTGATTTATTAGTTTCAACTTTCTCAGAAGAATCCCAGTTCACAGAACTTTCTCCTGCAAATGTATCTACACACTCCCAAGATGCTAAGCTATCTGCAACTGAATAATGATAGCCGATATCCTGAGGAGAATTTATAGTCTTGCTGATAAAATCCTCAAGTTTATTATTTTCAGAGACAACAGTGCGAATGAGTAGTATATTTTCTTCATTAATAACAGCATCATTTGTTTCCAAAATCTTGCCTTCCATCAATATTTTATCACTTATATGTCTATCATTGCTTTCCAAGTCTTCAACAGCCTCATCACTTGTGTGCTTTTGAAAATCCGCTTCAGAATTATCATAATTTTTCTCAAGCATTACAATCTTGTGGTTTTCAGATTCCAAACGGGTATTAGACGAGACATCATTGTTATCAATAAAGCTACCAAGTTTGATGCCATCATTAACAGCACTTCCTATCACTCCTACATCATTGTTCTTGCCATCATTAACAGCACTTTCTATCACTCCTACATCATTATTCTTGCCATCATTAACAGCACTTTCTATCACTCCTACATCATTATTCTTGCCATCATTAACAGCACTTTCTATCACTCCTACATCATCATTCTTGCCATCATTAACAGCACTTTCTATCACTCCTACATCATTATTCTTGCCATCATTAACAGCACTTTCTATCATTTCTACATCATTGTTCTTACCATCAGTAACAGCACTTTCTATCACTCTTACATCATTGTTCTTGCCATCATTAATAGCACTTTCTATCACTCCTACATCATTGTTCTTAACACTAATATCATTCATTACATTTGATGTTGCTTCTCTTAAACTTATAAATGAAAACAAACTGTCTGCTTCATTTTCCTGATTTTTTGAAAAATCATAGCTACTATTCAATGACAGAAAATTCATGGCTTCATTTTCCCCTGACCTTGTTAGAAGCATTGAGAGAGACTTGCCAGTTTTTTCTTCCACATTACTACACAATTCATACATGGCCAAATCTTCATTAAGTGTGTCTGCTGTCTGAAAAGTTGCAGTACCTATCTCTGCTCCTGTGCTAATTCCACTGGCACTTTTCTCTATCTGTGCTCTTACAATGGATCCAAAGCTCATAACTAAATCACTAAATTTCTGGTCACTTACATCCTCCTCTTCATTACTCTGAGAGGTTAAATCAAACCAGTCTCTCTCACTTTGTGCAATATCAATATCAGCATTAGCTTCTTCAATTAATCTTTGTATTTTCTCTTCATCAGATACATCAGCCCACTCCATGTCTTCATTTTTAATAGAGATTTTCATGCTTTCTCCACTTTGGTACAATCTTTTATCTTGTATATTTTTTATCTTGCCTTGTGTGGCAATTCCACAAACATGTGAACTAAATTTTCCTTCATCTAACTTACTGTCTGCCTGTATTTCATTGCCAGACATTGCCTCTGAAACTTCAGTTTTTCCATCGGTATCTAAATTACCAACACAATCAGCTTTTTCCTCCTCAGAATCATAACCCTCAATTATTACATCAACATCATCATCATCATCATCTGCATCAGAACTCCAATCCTCAATCTTCTGAAAATCATCCTGGAATTTGGAGAATGCATTCTCAGTTATTTGTCCACCATTAATATTTTGCTGGAATAAAGTCTGGTCATCCTCCTCTGACTTAAATTCATAAACTAAAGGATCTTTATCTGCTGACTTTTGCTTGTTTATTTGGAATCCTCGTAGGTCAGCAATAATATGTTCAATGTTTATTTCTCTTTCATATCTTCCTTTCATCTCTAAAATTTTACTCTTTGGAACACCATGTGTATTTCTTTTGGCAAGTTCTTTCAGGTTATTCTTCCATGGAGCATCTGCATCCAATATATCTACTTCATAGCCATACTGTAGTGCTAGTTTAACATAAGGCTTCATTTCCCATGCCTGTAAGTTTGTATTGTCAATTATTATAGGAGTTTTACCATCCTGTAGTCTCTGAGCTGCTCTATGTTTGTTCCACTGGTGTGCTTCACTAATCCGGGATGGATCATAATTATATTTACCCTTTTTGCTGAAAAAAAAATCATCTGTGGATAAAATAACACCATTCTTGCCTTTTATTTCTTTGGCCAATGTCGATTTTCCAGAACCAGGCAATCCTCGCATAAGAACCATAATTTTTGTACCTATTAAAATTTTTTTAACAATGTCATCCTTTTTACTGACATTATCTTTTACTTTTGATTTACCTTTAGGATTCTGAGGAGTTTGCATCAAGAAATGGCTCATTTCTAAAGGCCAGATACCATTATTGTTAGCTGAAGGATTTGGGTTAAAAGCATTAGGCACAAATTCTGGGGCTAAAACCCAATTAGAAGTATCACGTTCTCTATTAATTTCAAAATCAACTGCAAATCCAAATCTATGAGGAGAAAGTGGTGAAGAGGACCCACTCCCTATTCCTCCAAAGCTGTTATGTGGTGATGAAATTTCTGTTTCAGTTCTTATGACAGCAGCAGCATTGTCATCTTCTCGAAAAACTCTGGCATTACCATTTCTAGGATGTAACACTGTACCAGAGGCCAAAGATGGATTTAAAATACTAAACTCGTTTTCATTGCTTACTGGACTTCTAGGTCTATTAGTATGATTTATCAAGTCTTTTTCTAGTTGCCCAGAGGTAACATTTAATGTCTGAACTAAACTGCTGTCATCCGAAGATAATTTATCACTTAATTGCTTTGCAGAGTTCTGGACAATGGAATCAGCAAGCAGTATATTCTGCGCATGAAGAGGCAAGTCCTTGGGATCTATCATTGCTAGTAACATTTCAGAAGCACTTTTGGACTCCCATCCACATGACTGAAGTATCATTTTAATGACTTCATGCTCAACAACTGTTCCAAATATTTCCTCAAACTTCGTCAACAACTCGCCATGGTCTGTCTCCGCCATATCTCCTGTTCATTTCAACTTTAGTGCTGAAGATCCTCACACAAACTTGATGGTGAACACTGATGCGTCCATCATCCCACCATTACCAGCCTCGTCTTACACTGTCAGTGTGTCTAGCAGCTTGGTCAACACAGCTTCCACAACCAGAATTCTTATCACATGACGACAATATGGAGCATAACATGTGAAACAAAAACAAACCTGGAAACTTGAGTACAATCGTAGAGATCTCCTTAGAACCTTTATATACGCTCTCTGGGCTGCCCAGAACCTACTTCTGCTCTTCAGATCCTACTCCTGCCCTCCCCCCCCCTCTATTCTTTCCCTTAGCAAAAACAACAATGGCAACAATTTCTTATTATACTAATTTCCTTATACTTAAATAAACCACTATAATAATAATAAATTTATTTAGGTACAGGTACACACAAATAGTTACATAAATTATCATATGTGTCAGTATATGTGTAGATTACCCAGGTTTAATCCCAAAAAAGCCGAAGTGACTTATTTCTATTGGGGTTTTTGGTTGCTTATTTAGGCACAGGTACACATAAGTACAATTATCATCCCCTCAAGGAAGGTTCCTTGATGTTGGTGAGGGGCTCTTGATTTAGGGAATTGGATCTGTGCTCCAGTTCCCCGAATTAAGCCTGAATGCCTTCCACATCCCCCCCAGGCGCTGCATAATCCTCCGGGTTTAGCGCTTCCCCCTTGATTATAATAATAATAATAATAGTACAATTATCATACATAGTGTAAATTACCTAGGATAACCCCCCAAAAAATCAGACAAAGTGACTCTGGGTCCTCGTAATGTCTTGACAATTTGGAAAGTGTCTGGGCAGGTGAGATGCTGCCAACCTCATTCCCATAGGTTCGCTTTTCCCTCAGGATGGGCGGGAAACACGACTCTAATGCACTGCTTAGTAATTTATTCAGGTACAGGTACACATAAATTCACAAATTATACTATGCATAGATAACATGTGTAAATTAACTAGGATAACCAAACAAAAAAATAGTTGGTTAAACTTATTTCACTTGAAGGGGTATGGTTACCTGCACTTGTGTGTACATAGGAACCAGTGGAAATAAGCCATACGAATTTTTTTTAGAGTTATCTGGTAAGTTACATTATGTATGATAATTTTTAGTATGTATCTATCTAAATATAAGTTGTGATAAATGGTTTTGTAACGACATGTTGAAGATGACGAATTTATGAACATATGGAATCTTTATTGAAGATACATTTCAGCCACAGTGATTATCAGTTCAATATAAGTTACACCTTCCTGCTTTGTCGGGATAATGAAGCCACTGTGTGCGAACGTTTCTTAATAAGATTCTCATATGTTGCATAAGTGGCAGCATCTGGCTTTCTATACGCACATTATTATTATATATAAAAGCACTCAATTAGTCACTGCTTTATTAATCTTAAGATGGTCTTAAGTTTGCCTGAAATGTTTTGCATATAAAGGGACTTTCTGTATGCACACTTAAATGTCATTAATCTCTGTACAAACATTGTACACCTGGAGTTAACCTGGAGAGAGTTCCGGGGGTCAACGCCCCCGCGGCCCGGTCTGTGACCGGGCCTCCTGGTGGATCAGAGCCTGATCAACCAGGCTGTTACTGCTGGCTGCACGCAAACCAACGTACGAGCCACAGCCCGGCTGATCAGGAACTGACTTTAGGTGCTTGTCCAGTGCCAGCTTGAAGACTGCCAGGGGTCTGTTGGTAATCCCCCTTATGTATGCTGGGAGGCAGTTGAACAGTCTCGGGCCCCTGACACTTATTGTATGGTCTCTTAACGTGCTAGTGACACCCTGCTTTTCATTGGGGGGATGTTGCATCGTCTGCCAAGTCTTTTGCTTTCGTAGTGAGTGATTTTCGTGTGCAAGTTCGGTACTAGCCCCTCTAGGATTTTCCAGGTGTATATAATCATGTATCTCTCCCTCCTGCGTTCCAGGGAATACAGGTTCAGGAACATCAAGCGCTCCCAATAATTGAGGTGTTTTATCTCCGTTATGCGCGCCGTGAAGGTTCTCTGTACATTTTCTAGGTCAGCAATTTCACCTGCCTTGAAAGTTGCTGTTAGTGTGCAGCAATATTCCAGCCTAGATAGAACAAGTGACCTGAAGAGTGTCATCATGGGCTTGGCCTACCTAGTTTTGAAGGTTCTCATTATCCATCCTGTCATCATTGATACAATGTTGTTGTCCTTGAAGGTGAGATCCTCCGACATCATCACTCCCAGGTTTTTGACGTTAGTTTTTCACCCTGTTTTGTGGCTGGAATTTGTTTTGTACTCTGATGAAGTTTTAATTAGACAAATGCATTTGAAAAAATTACATTTATGGGAGAGTACTCAATCCATGGGGGTCATACATTATTATTATAATCAAAAAGAAGCGCTAAGCCACAAGGGCTATACAGCGCTGCAGGGTAGGGAAGGAAGCGAGGGTATTGGATGGCAGAAGGGAGGAGGGATGATCAGTAGGTTACAGAAAATAGCGGGGCAGGGGATAGTACGGGGGTAGAGGGTAGCAAGAGATTGAAGTAGAAAGGGCTGAAGGTATCAGAATTTGTGAAGTAAGTCAGTTGTTGTCAAAAAGTCAATGAGAGAGTCCGGATGAAAGGTGGGTCCATCAGCGAGAAGGGAAGGTAAAGAGAGAGCAGCGGAGCGAAAGACGACGACGGAGGTAAATTCTGCGTTGCTCGTTGATAAAGTGGGCAGTCCAAGAATGTGGCTGACTGATAATGAAACTTGGCAATTTCACAGAGAGGAGCAGGGGCCTCTCATGATTGTATCCATGAGTAAGCGAGTATGGCCCTGCGAAGAGGGGAGGAAGATAGTCTCCCAAACCTCGACACTGGTGATAAGAAGACGGCATAACCTATACTTGTTAATAGATTGAAGTTTGTTGCCGAGCATAGTAGACCCAAAGGTGTTGCCAAGGGTGTGAAGGTGGGAAGATATTGCAGTAAAAAATGTCCGTAATTGGAAACCTCTATTATGAAACTGGTAGTCATGTACTGCTGACCGTTGGCAGTGTCTGCCTGTTCATTGCCTGTACATCAAAAATGACCAGGGACCCCCAAAAAAAAACAATATTTAGCTTGGTAAAGATGCGGCGTAGCCAAAGTGGATACGGAGGACTAAGGGGTGAGGTGTATCAAATTTCTGTATAGCCCGTAAAGCACTAAGGGAGTCTGGACAACCCCAAATGATGGACACAGGCATAAGATGCAAAAGGATAGTGCTGCAAGGATGGCATACAATTCCCAGCAGGGAAAAAACTAAGCAAAGATAGTAAATGCCCTCGTACGACGCTGTCGGAAAATTGTGCGAATCCTTTGCCGTCAGAAAGACTTGAGCCATCTGTGTACACAGCATTTGGGCATGAGAATGAGGTTTAAAGGTGGTCAAGAAAAAGAGAGCGGGAAGCAACCGTAGGACAGTTGGGCTTTGAGCAGGGAGAGAGAAAGAATTAGACTCGAAAAGTGGAACTTCCCAGGGGGTAGGGAAAAGTGAGATGCTACATGAAACATAGAAAGGTGGTAATTGAAGTATGACAAGAGCGAATGAAGGCGAAGAGGAGAAGGGACGGGATAAGGAAAAAAGGGGGGAACAAAATAAAGAATGTCTACTAATATCAGTGAACCATTCTATAAATGGAAGGATTGCGGGGAGATCCATGAGAGGCGTACATAGTTAACGAAGGCAATGGGGCTTCACGGGATTCGGATAGGAGGGAACGTTCGCTTCTGCCATAGGGAGGCTCTCGACAAGGGGAAGAGCGAAAAGCAACCAAAAGGCATAAAAGTAATCCTTGGTGATTTAATGGGGTTAAGGCTAGAGAGAGTAGCAGGATGATGCCGCTGAATTAGATCTGATCTCATAACAAAGTTTTGATAAAATAAGGGTGGAATGTAGGCGAAGGAGGGTTCGACGATCAGCTTTCCCCCTGAAAGATGAGCAAGGGTTTTAAGAAGGTTCAGCCGGCTGTGAAAGTTGCCTTCAGAGAGGTAATGTGAGGTTTCCCGGTAACCTTTGATCAAAGAGGAGGCCCCGGAAACTTAACTGTATCACGTTAGGGATACGGGGCCATAAGGTACAAAGGATGATCGGAGATGACAGGCGTCTAGTGAAAGTAATTTGGTGGGTTTTAGTGCTGGAAAATTTTAAACCCCCGTGTGGTGGCCCCAAATTTGGAAAAACGGTCGACTGCATGCTGGAGAGAAACTGTAATGAGGTGACAGTCAGCGCCTGCACAGGCAATAGCGAAGTCATCAACATAGAGTGATGACCAAATATTTGATGGAAGACTAGAGGCCAAATCATTAATAGCAAGGAGAAAAAGTGTTGTGCTCAGAACACATCCCTGGGGGACACCTTCAGCTTGGATAAAGTCCGGGGAGAGCACATTATTAACCCGAACACGGAAATGCCTCAGTTAAAAAGTTCTTAAGGAAGGATGGTAGATTGCCTCGAAGGCCTAAGGAGTGGGCTTGGGCTAAAATATTATACCTCCAAGTTGTGTCATATGCCTTCTCAAGGTCAAAAAATATGGCAATAACTGAGTGGTTATTCGCAAAGGCATTACGAACATACGTATCCAAGCGTAGTAAGGGGTCTATGGTAGAACGTCCCTACGAAAGCCATATTGACGAGTGGAGAGACTGTTGTGTGTCTCTAAATACCACACTAAACGTCTATTTACTAGGCGTTCCATCACTTTGCAAACTGCACTGGTAAGAGCAATGGGACAATAGTGGGAGGTTTCATGTCCCGTAGTGCCTGGTTTGCGGAAAGGGAGAACAATGGCGGATTTCCACAGCTGTGGAAGAACTCCTTGTGACCAAATAAGATTGTAAAGGCATAATAGGACTGCAAGGGCTGACTGATGTAAATGTTGTAGCATACGAATATGAATGTCGTCGGGCCCAGCTGCCGATGATCGGCAAGCTGAGAGTGTTGCCTCCAGTTCTTGAAGTGTAAAAGGCACATTATACTGTTCTTCTCTGAGAGAAGAAAAGTCCAAGGGTGCTAACTCTCTGGCAGACTTTGAGGAAAGAAATGAGGGGCATAGATGGAGTCCCTGAGAAATATGGACCAGATGATTGCCAGTTTCATTGGCAACATCTAGTGGGTTTGCTATATCAACACCAGCAACCCGCAGGAAATGGCAGAAATCGTACACCAAATCCAGTCATTCCTGGAGTGGAACC